ACAAAGCGGAGTCCAGCCCGGGGTCGTCACATGTGGTTGCCGCAAGCCCGCCGGACGCTCCTTCGTCGAATCTGCCGGCCGCGCCGTTCCCAAGCCCGTCCGCCTCTGCTCACTCAAGCCGGCCTCCACATACTCTAGGCCTCCGGCCTCCACTCACTCAAGGCTGCGGTGTGTGAAGCTTTTTCGTTGTGAAAGCGAAACTACTTTGTTTGGCCTTCCAAAAGAGGACACGACTAGAAATCAGTGGTTAAGTTGTATTTACAACACTGTCCCAGAACAGTTTAACCCAAATATTCAGATGTGTGCAGCACATTTTATGGGACCGATGAGCTTTGTAAAAATCAACGTGTTTCAGAAAGGCGGGGCATAGAGGAGAAACAATAATGTACAGTATGTGAAAAATAATGTGTTTTTTTAACCTTAAACCGCATAAACACATTTCATTACACCAAATACACAAAATAAGGTTCTTTTTAGCAGCATCATATGACCCCTTTAATTGTTGTGGTTCCGATTGTGGGGAAAAATCTGGAATTCTATGGAATGTATTTTAATACGGTAAAGTGCATTAAACAGAGTATTATACTCTTGTAGGTAGCTGAAAGCATTATCAAATTAGCAAGAATATTTAAAATGCTGGTTGACCCACATATGAACATTCTATCACTATTCAAGAATTTTTTTTGATTACTCATCAGATCTATATGACATTCTTTTCTTCCACCATCACTCTCAAATCTCATTTACACTTCGCAATATTCAAACTTAGTGCATCGCTTTCAGTGTCATTTGATATTGCATGCATGAATTAACGTGAATTAAGTTCTAGAGCTCTGGAAGTTGGGATAGTAAATTTTAAATGAATGGAATGACATGAGACTGAGAAAATTATAACTTTTTTATTTATTTGGTGTATTCTTTTAATAAACAAACAAGAGGAAGGGGATGTTTAGGACACTGTGAGAAAATAATGACTTTTTTAAAATAAATATGCTCAAGGAAGGGGATGTTGTGAATGATTGTGTTCAAATTTTTTTTTCAGGATTTCTGTGAGTGAAAATTCTGTGCAGAGCTACTTGTGAGTGTGCATCAGTCATAATATTACTTGCATATTTCACCTCACAGACTCCAAGGAACAGAAGAAGGAGAGACAGTTCTCGAAGTCCAAAGATTGGCAGTATCCTTGGATGGACCATGCAACTGGTATGCTCACAATCAGCTGCTATACTGTCTTACTGAATATCAAGCTTAGCCCTGTCAAAGTCTACAAATCATTTCTTATCATATGAAGATGGCAGTCTTTTAGTTTAGATATAATAAAGTTCTGTACACTCCATTGTACTTTTAGTATCTTTTAGTAACTATTGTATAATTTTTTAATTTTAAAGTTTGAGTAATTTAGTAGAGTTTTTGTCCTTTTTATTAGTTATAAATATATATTTTTAATTATATTTAATTTTTTTGTTTTTATTTTATACATCATCAATCTAAAGAAAATTAGAAATATTGTTTATTTTATTTGAAGTCACAAAATTAGTTTTTATAGGTTTAGTTAACTCTAATGACCCTGGTCCACTGTAGAGGACACCATGCATCAGAGGGGTTTGGACATATGCGACCCTGGGCCACAAAACCAGTCATAAGGGTCAATTTTTCAAAATTGAGATTTATACATCATCTGAAAGCTGAATAAATACCAATTTCCATTGATGTCTGGTTTGTTAGGATAGGGCAATATTTGGCCGAGATACAACTATTTGAAAATTGGGAATCTGAGGGTGCAAAAAAAATCTAAATATTGAGAAAATCGCCTTTAAAGTTGTCCAAGTGAAGTCCTTAGCAATGCATATTACTAATCAAAAATTAAGTTTTAATATATTTACAGAAATATCTTTATGGAACATTATCTTTACTTAATATCCTAATGATTTTTGGCATAAAAGAAAAATCTATAATTTTGACCCAGACAATGTTTTTTTGGCTATTGCTACAAATATACCCCAGCGACTTAAGACTGGTTTTGTGCTCCAGTGCTGCTAGAGCTGAGTTTAAGCACGAGTATGATGTTTTTGTTTTAGTGTTGAATTCTGGGGAATACTACATGTTTGAGTCTGACAGCGGAGAGGAAGATGAATCCTTTCAGGAGGAACAGAAGCCTCGTCAACAGACTGCCTTTCAGGTGACACGCTTTGTATTGAGTTTGTTCTCTGTTCTATATTTGGTAAGGCAGTTTTTATAGGGACAAGTGTGTAAAGTTTGAGTGTATAAACTGTTTTCCACAGCTGGCATACCAGGCTTGGGTCACCAGCGCAAAAGAAGCCCTGAAAGACCATCAGCAGAGGCAGAGAGAGCAGAGAGCGGAAGCAAAGAAACAACAAACCTCTCAGGCTACAGGTTAAACATTGACCTATATGCATATGAAACATGCAGTACAAACATAGACAGAGAAACAAAGCAATCAGCTGCAGACTTCATCATATTACAAATGAATATTGAGTTGTCTATTTCTCTCGGTGGTTAGCAGATGATGCTGAGGAGGGTGAAGCAGTTTTTGATGGGAACTCCAAAGAAGTGGAGGAGATGCAAGAGGAAGGAGATGATGCAGGTAAGCGCAAACTGTCGTCTTCTGGTCAGTTTTCTCTTTTAGCTCTGATGGCAGAGCAACAGTTTGAGGAGAGTTTTGCTGAGCAAGTTAATTATAGTTAGTTAAATTATGAAAATATATAGTGTATAGCTAGCTACCTAAATAATAACACATCAAGGTTAATGGCACAGCCATTTGAAAATAACTCTAGCCCCTTTTAAATATGGAGATTTATTACCACCTAACTGTAAGCATCTGAAAAACAGGGCACAGGCTTGAATTTCACATGACATCCCAGTGCATCATTCTGATTTTACAGCATCTCAAGCCACTGGCCGTGATATAGTGCAGAGGATTCTGGACATACTGAAGTTCCTGTGGGTGCTTTTCTTGGCCATGGTGGACGGATTCACTATGTGGCTTAACTTGCTCACCAAGCAGTATGTAGACACTTCCATGGTCCTCTCTGAGGAGCGCTACCTCTTCATTCACAACATCAGCCAGGTGGGTAACTTACTCACTCAAACATTATCCAATGCGTCGTTGGCATTGTTCTCATGGATTTTGTGCCATCTACAGAGACCCTCCAGAGAGCCCATGGATGATCAGATATCACAGGACAGTGAGAATCTCACTGTTGAGACATGTCTCGATGAAACTGACACAGACAATGTTCGCTTCAACAGTAATGTCAAGTAAGTCTGATCTGCCCAGCAACCAGTTTCCTACATGGATGGTGTACATAGCCAGGAATTTGTCAAAAGTGTACATTTTCATCTGCATAATGTCATTTTTAGAGCATTTGCTCATCTGTAATATACAAATGACCTTTTGTACAACGACTTTAAATGGTCACTATCACCAGTTTACTTAACTGATTTGCGATCTGGTAATATTCCAGGAGCTTTTCCCACAATTTTAAAGTCTCTTGTGCTCACAAGAGCTAAAATGATTTATTATTATCAAAAATACAGTAAAAACAGTAATATTGTGAAGTATTATTACAATTTAAAATAACTGTTTTCTATTTCAATATATTTTAAAATGTAATTTATTCCTTTGATAGCAAAGCTGATTTTTCAGCAGACTATTTTCAGAATTCAGTGCATCATGATCCTATTAAAATGCTGATTTGGTGCTCAAGAAACAATATCAATGTTGAAAACAGTTTTTGCTGCTTAATATTTAATCAAAGGTTTGGTGCATGTAAGATTAAAAAATAATCAAAGAATCCTGAAAATGTATCACAGTTTCCACAAAAATATTAAGCAGCAAAAACGGATTTTATCATTGAAAATAAAGAACCACAATTAATAATTGTGCACCAATAATAATAGATAATAATTTAGCACAAAATCAGCATATTAAAATGATGTTAACTTATCTTAAGTAACTTGTCTTACTTATCATAACTTATCTGTTTTAAACTTTGCAAAATCACAAAACTTTGTTTATTTCCAATTTTAAATTAGGTTTTGAATCCCAGATTTTCAAAGTGGTCTCAGTCTTTTTCCAATGCTGTGTCATAAACCATTTCTTTTTGGATGTTAGATTTAGTAGAATTTTTTTTTTTTAATTATTATTTTTTTTTTTATGCCGTGTTCTAACCAGACATGACAAGCAATTTGCTGGAACCAAACATTCTGTGCAACGGGACAATCACAGCTAATTAGAATACACAGTACTTGATGTTTAATATACAGCTTTGTGGGGAAGGGTTTTAGACCAATGTTATTTCAGTGTGGGATGACTCAGTTTCTGTCAGTTACGAGCAGATGTCCCATTTGTTTTGCAGTGTGGTTGAGTTGGAGACACTGGGTGGTTTTCCAAAGTCCCGTGACTTCAGCAGCACAACTCTGTCCTCTGAACTCACATTAGAGCTTGATACAGAACCTTTTTACAGCCAACACACCCACCGCCCTCGACGCTCCAGAACTGCAAGTGAACTGATTTCAGAGAGGTGCTGCTTTCAAATGCTTTGTATGACATGACTGTATGATCACCTGCCATTATTAAAGGGTGAAACTCAAGAAAACATGTCTGGAGTTAGAAATAATATTTTTAGGAAAATCTGTTTAGGACTGTGTCTTCCTACTTTGCTTCTTTAAGTTGTACAGCACTTATTTTTCCCATTTCACATTATGTGAATAAAACTTTTTAATAAAATAAAACCTTTTTGCTTTACATTAATGGAGAAAATGTTTATTGTTATTAAATAGGCTTCATTTTTATGTAAAATGCAATTTTGGCACCCTATATGTTTCTGCAGTTTAGTTATTGTCTCTGTATTCTCTGTTCCAGGCCGTTCAGTGTTGAGGAGTTGATACAGAGTCGTGAGTTCTACTCGTCCCAGAACCGACTGCTGAAGCTGCTCTTTGCGCTCTATAATGTTCTGGCGGCCCACTCAGAGCTGGTCTGTTATTTCATTATCGTGCTCAATAACCTGGTGACAGCCTCTGTCATCTCACTGGTGCTGCCAATTCTCGTCTTTCTTTGGGCAATGCTGTCTGTGCCACGACCTTCCAAGAGGTTCTGGATGACGGCTATCATCTATACAGAGGTGGGCAATGGAATGGAAAATACCTTTGTAAAATTGACTTTGTGATTTGATTCAGATGTGAGACCCGTTCTGGCAAAATGAGCCGGAATGCGCACAGGATAATTTTGAGCTACAGGCAAAAAAGTGAAAAATGTCGATTTTAGTCGTTTTTGAGGTTTTCACAAAAATTAGTTAATTAAGCCTTCGTCTAGCGATCTCAAAGCTCCAGATAATAATTTTAGATGTTTAATTACTTTTATTTTTATGTTTTCTGAGAGGAGTAACTTTTCTCATGCTGTTATTTGAAGCACGCAATCCCGATAAATATACACAGAATTACAGTATTTAAGTATTCACGCAAACATAATCTGGTATGTCTTAAATGAACGTTCGGGGAACTGTTGGAGGAAAGCATCTGATGTGTAACATTATATTAGATCTGTGCATTACAGTAGGTCTTAATATATACTGTAGGCCGTCTCATTAATGTTAATCTAACAATAAAAGAAAATAGGGAATCAACTTGCTGTTCGTGATTAAACTGCTTTTGTCGTTTTAATAATTTATTTGTAATGAACACACTAAAGGGATTTTTACATTTGATTATTCGTTTTTCTTACTTGAATGCTTTTGTTTAGATGTAAAATGAAAAAGGTAATGCATTATTTGTTTCTTTCTTATATTTGTTCTGCTGTTTTTTTGCATATTTTCTTATTTATAATAACGAAGATAAAATAAAAAAATAGCTATATTGTGATTATTAATTATAGTAATTATCAAGAAAAGAAGTGGAGGAAAAGATGCAACTTTGCTCTCTGATTTTTCTTTGGAACCTTCAGAAAACTTTAACTCGTTTTTTCTCAAAACTGACTTTACTGACTCTATGGACATAAAACAGGTGTAACTCAGTAATTTTTCATCCGATTCTAACAAATCATACATCATTCTGAAAGTCTTTTAGTGGAGAATGATAATATAATGTTAATCTGTTAATATAATGCTCATTACATTATCATTATATTGTGTTCATGATAATGCTTTTTTAGTTTATTTTATACAGTATATGTAAAACACTATTTTAACTACCTTTAAAAAGTTAATTTTTTTTCATGAAATCTTTATTTCTGTTCTATTGTCAAATCATGCTTCGGGAGGTTAGGTTTAAAAACTAGCTGGCTCATGCTGGTGCTGGTGACCATTCGGACCACCAGCTAGTGGGACTGAGGTTAACCTAGTGGACTATTTTGGTCAAGTTGATATCCCATTACTACTGACTAAATAGATGTTTAATAAACTATTATTTGAAATAAAGTTAATCTACCATTAACTATTTGTATCCTCCCCTTTTTTTAAATAATTTCACAGTGTTTTAAACCATATTCAGACATGTCCCACATTTTGTTAAAAGGGTTGCAAAAATGGCAAATCTCATGATCTCATGGCTTATATAATATGTTATTTGATTACCTGAGGTTGATCACTATTTTCGACTTCTAGGTTTTGTACCTTATTCATGGAAATTGTCACATATTCATCATTTGATTCTGATGTGTACATAATCTTACTTTAGGGCTTAAACTTTCTCTCTGCAGAAATATCCCCAACCAAAAGGGCAAAAGAAAAAGAAGATAGTCAAGTATGGAATGGGCGGCATTATCATTCTTTTCCTCATTTGCATAATTTGGTTCCCACTACTCTTCATTTCACTAGTTAAATCTGTAGTGGGTGTGGTTAACCATCCTGTTGATGTCACTGTCACAGTCAAGCTTGGCGGTTATGAGGTAAAATACAATTGTAATATTTCTATGAGTGTTTAATACTTTGATCATTCGGGAGTTTACATTTGAGATTTGATTCATGTGTCTTCCTGCAGCCTTTATTCACAATGAGTGTGCAGCAGCAGTCCATCCAGCCTTTCACTGAGCAGGACTACAATCATCTTTCCAATCTGTTTCGAAAAAATGCTGTAAGTGGACATCAACAGTAATATCTCTTATTCTCACATTGATATCACACTCAATAATAGCTGTTGCCCAGTGATACTCATAACAACAGGGTGTCTGAAATTATGTTATACAATTATATTATGTGCACAATACAGTTTAATGACAGCAAATGAAACATACACAACATTTCTGAAATTAAACAGTTCATTTATAAAGCCGGTTGTTAAATGGGATGACAGAGGTTGTCACGGCATTAAACACCATGTCAAAAAGGAAAACTCTCACGCTCCCAAGTCTGCTTTTACAGCTTCATAGTGTTTAAAATCACACTCTTGCAAACTATTCTAACTCAGACTTTTAGGGAAACTCTTTCAGAAGTTGTTCGTGTTTAGCTGCTAATTAAAAAATGGCGGTCAAAAGTTTCTGTTCATCTTGTTGGTCATGGAAACCCCACTCCCAGCCCCTGACGCAAGCGGTTCTTACTTCTAGACAGTGTTTTGGTGCTACTTACGAACCACTTTTCCTGGTTTGGAGCTGGTGCTTTGGGTGTCGACAAAGAACCGATTTGAAATAGGCTCTGACTCCGAACCAGCACTCAAACTGCTTTGGTGGAAAAGGGGTAAGTGGGGGGGAGTGAATGAACAACGTTCTCTTCCACCTTCAGTACCAAGACTGAGGTGCCCTTGAGCAAGGCACCGAACCCCACTGCTCCCTGGGCACCGCAGCAAAAATGGCTGCCCACACTCCCAAGTCTGCTTTTACAGCTTCATAGTGTTTAAAATCACACTCTTGCAAACTATTCTAACTCAGACTTTTAGGGAAACTCTTTCAGAAGTTGTTCGTGTTTAGCTGCTAATTCAAAAATGGCGGTCAAAAGTTTCTGTTCATCTTGTTGGTCATGGAAACCCCACTCCCAGCCCCTGACGCAAGCGGTTCTTACTTCTAGACAGTGTTTTGGTGCTACTTACGAACCACTTTTCCTGGTTTGGAGCTGGTGCTTTGGGTGTCGACAAAGAACCGATTTGAAATAGGCTCTGACTCCGAACCAGCACTCAAACTGCTTTGGTGGAAAAGGGGTAAGTGGGGGGGAGTGAATGAACAACGTTCTCTTCCACCTTCAGTACCAAGACTGAGGTGCCCTTGAGCAAGGCACCGAACCCCACTGCTCCCTGGGCACCGCAGCAAAAATGGCTGCCCACTGCTCCAGGTGTGTGTGCATTACTTACTGCTGTGTGTGTGTGCACTTGGATGGGTGAAATGCAGAGCACAAATTCTGAGTATGGGACACCATACGCCACTTTCACTTCACTTTCATTATCATGATGAACATACAGCTTCATAGTGTTTAAAATCACACTCTTGCAAACTATTCTAACTCAGACTTTTAGGGAAACTCTTTCAGAAGTTGTTCGTGTTTAGCTGCTAATTAAAAAATGGCGGTCAAAAGTTTCTGTTCATCTTGTTGGTCATGGAAACCCCACTCCCAGCCCCTGACGCAAGCGGTTCTTACTTCTAGACAGTGTTTTGGTGCTACTTACGAACCACTTTTCCTGGTTTGGAGCTGGTGCTTTGGGTGTCGACAAAGAACCGATTTGAAATAGGCTCTGACTCCGAACCAGCACTCAAACTGCTTTGGTGGAAAAGGGGTAAGTGGGGGGGAGTGAATGAACAACGTTCTCTTCCACCTTCAGTACCAAGACTGAGGTGCCCTTGAGCAAGGCACCGAACCCCACTGCTCCCTGGGCACCGCAGCAAAAATGGCTGCCCACTGCTCCAGGTGTGTGTGCATTACTTACTGCTGTGTGTGTGTGCACTTGGATGGGTGAAATGCAGAGCACAAATTCTGAGTATGGGACACCATACGCCACTTTCACTTCACTTTCATTATCATGATGAACAAATTTTGTAAGAATCATAAACTTTTGTTGGTCACAGAGCTTATTTTCTGCAATAATCCAAAAGCCAATAGAAATATCCTGCTGGGTTTTTGTTGAGGGAAAAAGGATATGACAACATTTGTACTTCATTGTAACTTTTTCTAGATATAACAGTCAGCTTGTCCATTAATGTCAAATATTAAAATGTGTCCACAGGTGGCTATGCAGTTTATTACCATGTACAGCTATGAAGATATTGTCACAGCCAACATTGAGGGCAGCTCAGGGTCAGTGTGGCGGATCAGCCCACCGAGCAGACAGGAGCTAATAAAGGAGCTGCTTGGCAGCACAGGTGACATGACCCTCCGTCTGGATTGGAACTTCCAAAGGTCAGTTTGATGGAGAAAGACAGTGGTTTTGAATTAAACTTGTTTCTGTTGAGAGTACAGGACCTCATGCTCATTATGTGTTTGTGTCTGAAAGGGACCTGGGGAAAGGTGGGACAGTGGAACATACTTTTGACAGGCACTCCATCAGTTTGTCACCGAAGAACCCAGTCAGAGTGGACCTGGCATCGCTGCTTTTGGGCAGCCGGAAGGATCCAGTGTAAGTTTTGTGACTACATGGGGAAAAAATTTCAATCCTCCTAGATGCACTTCTCATAGTAATTTTTTCACACAGGTAAAATTTGTGCGGTGCACAAGTCATGGTAGACACTCTCACTCTCATCACTAACAACCTAAAATATCTAGGGATCTAAAATATGGTCATGCTGAATAAGGCATTAATATGTGCTTTATAATTATTAATAAACAGCCAATGTGCTAGTAATATGCATGTTAATAAGCAACTAGTGAGAACTGGTCCCTAAACTAAAGTGTAACCCGATAACTGTATTCCTTACTAATGGACTATTCTTTTTATTATAAGCACACCCTGAAGGTCTGTTGCATTAAATGCTCAAGCTCTTTTAAGTCAAGTGGATTCTGGGTTCTGATTGGCTGTCAATATTTTTATCATTCATCAGCTAGAAAGAAAAAAAAAACATTAGTTTTATTTTAAAAGTTGACAAGGCAGGTTATTGCAGCATAAAAAAAGTTACTTTTTCTATAGAAACACAACCTAAAATGTGTCAAATAACATTCAAAACATCACAAATAGGTCATTTATAAAACAATTCAAAAGCACAGGGAATAAAAGAAAGCTACTTATTCACGAAGTGAGCTACAGTCAAAAAGCTGTGCAAAGGCGACAAATTGTCCTTAAGTATGTTAGTGAAGGTACGTATGGTAGCCTCATCACGCCTTTCACTTAATGAAGGGAGAGAAGTTGGGATACCTATTATCTGACAACAATGTTTTTGTACCCTCTCAACTCATCACAGAGACCTTTAAGCAGTTCACCCCATACTGGGCTTGCATACTCAACAACTGGCCGTATGAAAGTATATTTGCATTAAACATTGCATGGGAGACCCGCTCTCTTTGCAACACTATGATAATAAATTCTTGGCTGTGACTTTGAAATCATATACTTGATGTGCATCCCATGACAAATTGCAAATGAGAATTCCTGTCCCCACTCTGCCACTGAGTCCAAGGCCTTCTGAGTTAGGCCAGGTAGAAGCTCAGTGATTGTGAGATCATCAGCATATTTCACAGGAATTATAGAAGGGTGCAGATGTAAATCCAAGCTGTTTATACAGATGACAAAAAGTAGAGGAGACAAAAGTCCCCCCGGGGAACACCAGCTGGAATTGGATAAGAGTTGCACACACAGGGACCCCACTTCACCTTTTGCTCTCTGTTACTCAGATAGCTCCTGACAATGAGCCATTTTTAGCACAAACACTAAAACTAAAAACTCTTTGGAACTGGAATAATACCACGAAAAAGAATACTTTGCCTCCCACTGCCAGCAGCTTACATTCCGGAGAAGGGAAAACACAGCTGCCCACATTCAAACAGAAGAGAAAGATAATGCTCCTGTTGAATCTACTTGCTGCATGAACTGCTGCAAACTTCTACATTGCGGTTCTTGAAACAAAGTTACTTGCTGGACTTCCAAAACAGGCAGAACACTCAGCAGACCGTCGTCACGGACCCCCTCAGCATACAGCCGGTGAGTCCCATGAATCTAGTGAATCTTACTCAACCTGAATGGCACACACACACCTGGACAGAGTATGGGTGACGACAGGACTTAATATCAGCTTCCGAGTCATCATGTGGTTAACACATCCGACAAGGACACTGAAAACACCATGCAGCCACAACAAGCACTGCTCATGGACACCATCCCG